CTCTTGAAGAGCCAGCACGTATATGATCATTATGTGTTTGAATTCCAAATTCACATAAAGTCAAGATGAAATTTTTCATTCAGGAATTTGGTAGGAACTCAAATTGATAAATATTGTTTTATGGACATAATATAAAATGAAATCATTTGAAGTTTGTTTGAAGGTGATTGACAATGTTTCATGATGAATTTCACTAGTGAAATTTGAAGTTTGCTTTTTCTGTCTGTTAGGAAATCCTAATGAATAATTGAAGTTGTTTAATAGATAAAATACATTATTACTTTATTGCATATTGTATTTTAGTTACTATGTATAAACAATAAAGAGATAAAAAATATTAACTATCAACAAAACAACAAAAGTATCATCAATAAATACAATACAGATTGTGTCGTGAAAAATATGAACAATTATATCACATAAAAATGAACAATATTTTTATAACTACTTTTCACAAGTTTTTCCTTATCAGATTTGGATGATAGGCCCGAAACTGATATATATCGTTGGAAACGTTTCTTCCACTGTACCCACAACGCCGGAGTTGAGAAGGTGAACTTCTCTGGAGGTGCCACGTGCATCGAGAGGTTAGAAACCGAAACCATTGGTACCACAGAGCTTGTACTTCCTTCCATTTCAAAAATTTGTTCGATATCACTTATACCGCTGCCACCATGTTTAGTTATCGATGGGGTTTAGGCATTAATAACTAGTATCAACGTATAACTATTAGTTTATTTCAAGACTCTCAACCCGTTGCACCGACTGTTGAGCCCAGAGAGAGAGCCCGGTGCCCACGTCCCTATTCCGACAGCCATCTTTCGCCGTGTCTCTGAACCCACCAAAGGTATCACATGGTGAATGATAGAACATGTCTCATTGTTGCACTGCCTACAGCTAAAGTCTCCGTTGAACAAGTATAACACAATTTTGTTCAGGTTTCCTCTCAATTGACAGTTTCCAGTAAACAGCCCTGTAATTGTTTTGAGTCAACTCTTGCTTTGTTGAAGCAGTTCTTCAGTTTTCTTCTTGGAGGTCCCTTTAAGATTTTCTTCTGTGTGTTTCTAGGGATATTTTCCCAATACTATTCATATTTCTTATAGGCCCATTTCCTAATCTGATTCCATAACAATGATTTTGATGCCCCCACTGGTTCAGGGCCTCTATGTGGAGTCCATAATCCTTGTCTAGTCTAGATTAGGTTAGGTCCAAAGAGAATAGGTCTATTCGACCCTCCACCGCAACCCGCAAGGGTTTATTATGGCTGACACCTATTCACACTCGACCAAATAAACCCAGCTTATTAACGAAGCCGATTAGTTTGTATGGTGAGTGGTCCTTCAGGTCTTCCGACAGTCCGAGTCTCTGCATATGATGATTCGTAGACGAGTGTCCTGTAAGAAGGCCTGTTAGACATAGTAGTTAATCCCTACTGTAGTCCTACAACTGTTTGGGTATCAAGCTTCGAAAGGTGAATAAAAGCCTTGGAGTGAGCCAATCCTAGAAGATTCTGCCAGAAGTCCATAAATCTTCTTGCCATCCAGGTGTTCAATCTTTGTTTGACAAAGCCTAAAGCGATGCCAATGATAGGTTCTGGTCCGATGAAGCTGCCTGTAGCACCCTCCTTTGCATGGGATTCAGCAGCCTCATTGCCTTTCAGGCTAGTATGGCCAGGAATCCAGACCAGAGACAATATGTTAAGTCTTCCTATTGAGGAGAGTCGTTTTTGGCAATTTGCTACCAATTTAGACGTTGCTCGGTTGGAGCCAAGAGCTTCCAACGTCTAGTTTACTCATCAGCTTTTTCATTGCCTGTGATTCCTGAATGTCCTGGTACCCAGTAAAGAGTCAATCTATTCCCGTTCGCCGTTTTTTTCAGATAATTAATCAAAAGTATTTCTGATATTTCAGGATATTGACACTCAGCCGTGACTTGGGCAATCAGGTTTCTCTTTTCGATAGTTTTTATTCTTGGGTGATTCCTGAATGTCCTGGTACCCAGTAAAGAGTCAATCTATTCCCGTTCGCCGTTTTTTTCAGATAATTAATCAAAGGTATTTCTGATATTTCAGGATATTGACACTCAGCCGTGACTTGGGCAATCAGGTTTCTCTTTTCGATAGTTTTTATTCTTGGTTGATCATTAAATTTCAGACAGAAGCTCTCCAAAAAATATATTTTTTGTTGAAATGATATAATCTATGATATAGTATGTTATTTCTGAGATTTCCTTTCACATCTTCAAGTTTATTTTTACAAGATTCGTTTTTAGTGAGTTTTATCAATTTATTTATGTTACTTTAAGACATTGAAGTATCTTTCAAATCTTAGAAATTTGATATTAGGTACTTTAAGTTGTGTCTATAATATATTGTAACGAATTAAAGAATTAACTGTCTTAATCAAATTTATTTTTTAACAATATTTCACTATCACAACTAATTTATATACAACACTTTTCAGTTAGTATCCTTGAATAAATACCCAGTATAATTCATTTGGAAAATCGAAGAGAGGATAGTTGCCAAAACATTAAAGTATAACTCTCTTGATACTGATATTATTGATTCAGGTATGAATAACGAAAAAACTGAAGTAGTTATATATAAATAACTTTTTTAGAATACTCCAAAAGAATCTCAAATTACTGTTTTCAACATCAACATGAAAAAATAACAAACATACCTCTTGCCGTGAACCTGATGAGTAATTTGCTTCAACTCCTGATTTGAAAAAACATCGGATGCATCTAGGACATTTAGTAGATGTTCAGCTTTTGATAAATTGGGAACATGTAAGACAGCTGTGAAAGCTGATAACATTTCCATTTCTTCCAGGACTTGTCTGAAAAATTAAAATTTGAAGTAAAACTGTTGAAATATTTGATAATGAAACTCTAGTCATTTAAAGTAGATAATTCTTCTGAAATTATCATGTATGCATAATTAATAATTCTGAAATTACGATGTTGTTGACAAATTTGCAAAAGTAATATAATACCTTCTGCTGGTAGTACATAAAATCAACAGTTTTTTTCCAGGAGGCGGTTGCTTCTTCAATAACACCAGTAGAGCTTGTAAAGTTAAATTGGAATACCTAGGACCAATAGGACCATAATCCAATAACCTTTCTATATTATCAACTAAAATGCAACTTAATGTGGAACGATAAGCATCATCGAAGACCTAAAAAATAATGATTTAATGATAAATATAAACAAATTCATAATCAATAATCTTACTTTTCGAATAGTTAAACACTTAGCAGTTTCTGTGTAACCCACCATCTCTTCAGGAGAACATACTTTGACAAATGGGAAATCAGAATTTTTTGCAAGTTGAGCAGCCAAAGCGGTTTTACCCGAATTTGGAGGTCCTTCAATAAGTACCGATACTAAACCTGAAAAATCAAAAAGAAGGTAAGGAATATGACGTCATCTATGGGATTGACAGAAAACTGAATGCATAAATATCAAACATAAATAAGTCAATCTAAGGCAGTTCGTTGCCAAGTCAAGCCAAATGAGATGTGTCCTTTAGTATATTTTTGTACACAGTCACAATTAATTAATTCTCTGATTCTTTAAACAGAAATCAGATCAGTTTAATGGCACATTGAGTAGATTTACATAATATGTTGAGAAAAATAAATATTTCGAATAAGAATTTCAAACATTCACATTTCCCAATGTTCCTACAAAGTAGGATCTGACAAATGCCTGCCAAAAACAACCCAGGTTGATATCACAACTGACAAAGTATTCAAACGACAGGCACCTGTGCAAGTTTACTCAACAAAGAACCTTTTCAGGTACAAGACGCCGTATTATTCTTCATAGGTGCAGGGCAGATCTAACCAAAACAGTAATGCTGATTTTATTGATGATCCACCTCTTATAGGAAACCTTTGTCTGAAATTATGTGGGTCATTTCAAGCATAATGAAGTAACCAAGCCCCAAATCAAACCAGTCTGTGTCAAAGAGTCATACATACTCCCAGAAAATAAATACTTCAAATAAAAATTCCAAACATTATCCTACACCAAAGTTGCTACTCAGTAGTACCTGACAAATTTTTGCCGAGAAAAACTACTTCCCTGGCTAATACCACGACATATATTGGATTATATCCGAAAAAAATTTGTGCAAGTTTCTCTCAGAGGGAATCATTGCAGGTGCTTCTATAGATACAGCAGACGGACTTTCTGAAGTCAACCCAGTTATCACTTATAGACCGGTTTTAGAGTATAAGTTCTCAGCAACGTAGGACACATCCAGTCAAACAGCCGTGCTCTGGTACTCGACTGGTCTCATCAACACTCCAATACTTTGCAATATCTCAGAACGTAATTAGTCCTTCAATCTTTTAATGAAAAAATAGTGAGGTATATGCAACAGCAGCTGTTCATCTTTAGAGAAAATCGGGTGGGGCAATAATGCCTATTGCAACTCAACAAGAAATACGTCTATCAGATTTCTAGTAGACCCAAAAGTATCAAATTGTAAAATGTGTATTTGTGATAACGTAAAAAGGTTTATAATAGAGACTAAGGAAATCCACCTGGCCTAAAAAACGGTAATAATTAACGATGAAGTAATACCATCAGGGTGATAGGGAGGGTTGTGAGGATGTCAATAGAAGTATTGCAGTACGCGACAAAGATATTGATGNAAATACGAACAATTACTTATGAAAATGAAGAGAGAAAATGCGATGAAACAACTGAACGAATCGAACAATAAACAAAAAACAATCTGGCAGCTTATAAATAAAAACATAGGTAGCAATAATCACACCAATAACTCTTCTTATCGTACATCAGAGCAGTTCAACGACTTTTTTTATAAATGTAGCTCTGGATATGAATAATGACATGAGCACACCCAATAATTCATTCACAAACTATCTCCACCAAGTTCCATGCAATGTTGATAACTCGATGCATTTCTATCAAACTGATACTGCAGAGGTGAATGAAGTCATCAAATCCCTAAAAAACTCGGGCTCGCTTGATATTTACAATCACTCAGTGGTTATGTACAAGGAAAATCTATCAGCGCTACTACGACCAATTACATGTATTGTCAACTTGGTTCTGAAATCTGGTGTATTTCCATCAAAACTAAAAATTGCAAAGATAATTTCGGTCTTCAAAAGTGGTGATAAAAATCTTCCTTCAAACTACAGACCAATTGCACTACTTCCAGTAATTGCAAAAATTGTAGAAAAAATAATGGCAATAAGAATGATAAATTATTTAGAGTACACAAATATCTTGACAGATAGACAGTTTGGATTCAGGAAAGGAAGAAGCACGTCGAAAGCAGTGCTCCAATTAGTCGACTTCATAACTGAAGGTTTCGAAAACAAAGAATCGACACTTGGCATATTCCTCGATATGAGCAAGGCGTTCGACAGCGTCTCTACTGAGATACTATGGATTTGTAAGTATAGCACACAATCTGCTAGCATCATATCTAAATGAGAGAAAGCAATGTGTATCATATAATGAAGAACTCAGTAGCTTACAAACGATATTGAATGGTGTTCCACAAGGTAGTGTGCTTGGGCCACTACTTTTCTTGATCTATATTAATGACCTGCTAAATACAATGACAATGTTTACAATGCTATTCGCCGATGACACTTCCTTCGCCATTCGGAAAAAAAATATTGAAGAATCATCAGAATCAGAAAAGCGAGTTATTCAAGAAGCTACGGACTGGTTTAATGCGAATAGTCTATGTGTGAATAAAAGCAAGATACAAACAGTTATGTTCTCGTTGTCCCATAATCTCTCAGATAATGTGAAATGTCTTGGTATAACCATTGATTCAAAGTTAACTTGGAAACCCCATATTGACAAACTAGCAAAGAATCTATCATGCAAAGTCTATGCAATCAGGCAGATAAAAAATAAAGTCGGTAATGAAGCTGCCATACCGCTTATCATGCAATGTTTCATAGTTCCTTATTTTATGGCTTGATAAACTGGGACACATTTGTTCATATTTAGAATTCAAAAAAGAGCAATCAGAGCTTTAGCTGGAATAGGTCAAATGGAGAGCTGGTTTATTAAGTTCAACATATTAACTCTGCCATCATGTGTAATATACTGCAATTTCATACACATTCAAAAAATATTACAAAAGTTTACTACAAACGGTAACAACAGTACTAAGGTGTATTAACTTGACCAATAAAAAAATCGAAACTAATCTAATCTATTACTTGCCTGAAATGAAAACTGAACTAAGAGCGCCAAACAATTGTGCTTTCTACATCTATCAAGCATTAGGTAGATGTAGATTACAGGGATCAATACTTGGTCCTATTCTGTTTATGATATATACCAGTCTCTTCAATATTTCAGTGCACATTTCTAAGTCAATGAATCTCGCATCTATTATACTTTTGAACCACTCAGGATATATAACGCTAATGGTCAGATCAATAATGATTTCAGCACATTCACACCCCTTGCTGAAGATATGTCCCTAATGAATAGGACATCCAAATCGAGAAAGTCTCCCAAAAAAAACAAAAATGACTTTCTGTGATAATCTCGTTCTTTCATCTTTCAACTATACAGACTGCAAATATTCAAAACTCCTGCATTTGCCTTATTTATGGGGTGCATAGAAGAAATAGAATCTTAAAGTTCTCAGGCACTCGGCTCAAAATTCAAAACGAGATGTTATCTGCAGTTAAATGCTGGTATATTCATGAAACAGGTCATTTTGGATTACATGTACAAATTGAATATAAGGTATAAACGATTATTACCTTGTTAGAGGAAGGGAGTTGAATAAATCCGCTATTATTCAATAGTAACTGAAAATGGATAACTTTACCACAATTTTACATACACTCCATCTTTTACTGATTACGAGTTCAAATTCTGATTGTAATCAAGTTTATAATGAAGATGCATATTATTTTTCATCTGGTTTTATTTTGTTGAATATTTTTGTTGCTTTAGGACAAGAATCTGCAGGTTTCTAAGGGGTATACAAAACAATAAACAAATGAAATAATCTAATAACTCAAAGTAAATGGAGAGAGTTCTACTAAATTCTTGAAGAATGGATTTTTATTTTTATTAATGTCAATCAGTATGTACATCCTTTTATATACACTAGCCACACCAAATATCAAGTATAAAAGAACAGAAACAATTCAGAAATTCTATTTTCAATAGAATTTTATTCTTTCAATTGTACAGTGGTATCATGTGGTAACATTTCTATGTTCTAAACCGTAACAGATACGAAGACGATTAAATAGGAATAAAGGTAATTGTCATCGGGAACAATACAATGGTCAAAGATAATTTACGGAGACTCTCGCCCTTCTCGAGTTACACGGGGAAAACAAAAAATGCAAATTTTCGTTATTTTCGAATGGAATTGTTATTTCAGAGAATATCAAAAAATGGAAAAGAAAAATGTTATTGTATTCGAAGTGTACTAAGACGGTGTAATAATAAATATTCGATAAAACGTTTCGTGTCAACATGGCCACAATCAACTTTTTTTAATAAATACGGACCTGTCTTTTTTATTGCAGATATTGATAAAGCGATAAATTCACAACCCAAGGGTATATCCCATTTGATATTTTTATAGCGTTTCATTTGAAATAACCACCACCATCATCAGTGACAACAATCAAACAGAAAAACAATTTATTTTTCATGAACTTTTGGGAAAAATGAAACCAATATGGAAAATCAAAGCTACATGCCAATCTACATTAAATGGAAGAATTGACGACCTCTCTGTTGAATGCACATAAGTTGTCGGTCCAGACAATTTCTGTGTCAATTTTATAGCATAATAGGTGTGATACTAATACATGCATCTCTAATTTTTTGTTATAGCATAATAGGTGTGATACTAATACATGCATCTCTAATTTTTTGTTTGAGATGGTCTATATCTGTACTTGCTGTTGAAAAAACTTTATCCTTTATGTATCCCCAGACAAAAAAATCTAAAGTAGTAAGATCTGGGGATCGAGCTGGCCAGTTAATTGGTCCATTGTTTCCAATCCATTTTTTTAGGATGGTAAATGAATTGAGATGCTATTTGATCATACCAAATTATACAACAATCGAATTTTGACCAAAAACTGTTATTTTCGTTACTTCCAGGATTGAGAATTATAAAAATATTACGAATTATAATTGATTAGGGAGAAATAAGCCTTGAAAGAAGGATTACAGCAACACAAAAATTTCCAAAACGACAAATTACGAATTTTCATTGTGTTAGGGTACCTATCTGTTGAATTCATTGGGTTGTCTGATTTATATTTTGGAGAAATCAAAACAATTTACAAAAGAAGTAACGACAGGACCATAATTTAAAATTGTTGTCACTGATGATGGTAGTTATTTCAAATGAAACGCTATAAAAATGTCAAATGTGATTGATATACCCTTGGATTGTGAATTTATCGCTTATCAATATCTGTAATAAAAAAGACAGGTCCGTATTAAAAAAGGTGATGGTGGCCATGTTGATACAAAACGTTTTATTGAATATTCATTATTACATCTTTATTGTACACTTCGAATACAATAATATTTTTCTATTCCATTTTTTTATAGTTTCGGAAATAACAATTCCATTCGAAAAAAACGAAAAACAGCATTTTTTGTTTTTCCTGTTTAACTCGAGAAGGGCGAGAGTCCCTTTGTATCTGTTATGGTTTAGAACATAGCAATGTTACCACATGATGAAAGAAAGGACCTGTATTTCACATATAACATTTTATTTTAAATCCAATTTAGCGTATAAGTATTTTTGTCTTTTGGGTGATTTTTTTTAATTAATTTTTGTAATTGTATAAAGTTAACTCTCTTTTTTTCTTTTGATGGGTGTACAATATTCTTGTAGTTCTAGTGACTTTGCCCACAAAATGTTACCATTTTAGACAAAAAAGCTTATCTATCTATATTATCAGTATTAACTTTCATATGCTTTATGACTGGTCTAATAAAACTCTGTATATTTATTCAAGGCACTTGTGCGATTTTCAAATATGAACAAATTTATATGTTATTATAGTGTTTTGTCATTCGTAAAACCATTCAACTATTCCAGTTGATAGTACAGTGTATGACAAACAATGTTTAATCCTTTGAGAATTCAGTATGGATCACATAATTCATGAGTTATGCCAATACAGAAAAAAACTGTTCAAGTACCTGAAGTATCAGTAGCTCGTGCTTGTTGAATAAAAAGCATGCCATCTTCCATAATACTTGTAACAGGTGGACCCCAGTTTATAATACCTCGAGCCAAGAATTGATTTATAATTTCCAGAGCTGTACCAAATGCCTAAAAATAATAATTTCGAACCACTTGCAAATAAAGATTAACATAAACTTACAGGTTTAATATCATTTTCTAAAGCATGAAGAAAGTCTGCACGGCATACTAGTAACTTTTCTATTGCTTCAGGATCTACTTCAACTTTAGATGAAGCTTTAATTAACCTATTCATTGCTGTTGATTGAGCTGCTCTAACTAATCCCTCTAATTCTGCACCAGAGAAATTTTTCGTTAACGTCGCCAGTTCCTAAAATGTAAGGAAGTTTGAATTACTATACAAAAATAAAAAGAAAAATACAGTTGGTTGGATGCGTCATCAATAAAATATATGATAAAACATACTTTTATACAGGATCCTTTTTTACGAGTGAAAAAGGAATTCAAAACAGTTAACATAGAGAACAAAATTTTAAATGAATAACAGACATTTTTGTGGCACAATACAAAAAAGACTCACACTCAAATCAACATCAGAACTCAATTTTTTATACTGTTTCATCCTAGTGGTGTGAATGTTTAGAATTTGCACTCTACCCTCTTCATTAGGTAAACTGATCTCAACTTGAACTTCTAATCTGCCTGGTCTGAGTAGAGCTTCGTCAATCATATCTCTCCTGTTTGTCATACCTTAAATCGTGATACTAATGTTACTTTCTTACTGAATCATGAATTTTACAATTTCTTTCTAGAAAGTTCCCAATACTAGAGGGAATATTGAGCATTCAGATTTAGAGAAACAAAAATAATATATCACATATATTAAAAAATGTACTCACCAATCACCAAAATATTATTGAGCTGTTCCACTCCATCAATTTTTGAAAGGAGTTGATTAACAACAGTATCATGCACACCAGTATTTCCTGCTACTGATCCTCTTTGCTTACAAATGGCGTCAATTTCATCAAAGATTATTATGTGGAGACCACTGTTTGGTCCTGCCTAAAGAATATGTCTAGAGTTATTTAAAACAATGAAGCCATTCATGGTTGAAATGAATCAGCTAATAAATTATCCAAATCTTTTGACATAAATTCAAAGTTATTTTTTGATATTATTTAATGAGGTTTTGAAAAATTCAAATTCAAGAAGAGCAATGATTTGATGAATATTACTAGATATATAGACATGAAAATAATAATAATTTTATTAAAATAACGATAAAAATGAAATAAAAACAACAATAAAAATTAATTGGCGCTCCGGGGCGACTTCATTGATTCCAGTGGCGCATTTGCTTTTTCAGCTGCAGGAAAACCCGGAAAAACCTGCAGCACCACATCATCTGAAGATCTTGATCTAACAATGTCCTCTCTCTTATAAAACAAAATGTAGGGTGTCTCCAGAGGCTCCAATAAATTCAATTCATCGCCAGAACACTTCGTGACACGACTATCGTCAAACTTAAACCAGTCCGTTTCTTCTTTGACCAAGGCATAATAATGACCAAATTCAACGCCAGAACCACAGTGAGCAATGACTGCATGAATATTATAACAGTGGTCTGCTAGGTTGAAATGTTCATCTATTTCGAACCTTCCAATAATAATGAAAGTTATTTATTGGCATTTACCAAATGGCTATTGAGTGAAATCCTACAGCCAAAGTACAATTTACAAATGATCATAATTTGACATTCAACTTTGGGTTGAAATAATAGTTTTCATGAAATATATACAAAAAAACATGTATTCAAATTTGTTTTTAGTTTTGAGTGTTGAAGATAATCTGTTAGGCCTCTAGACACAATGGACGCATAAAGTCCAAATTGCTTGGATTCATGAAGAATCCGGTTTGAGAGGATTTTGAGGGTTCTCATTTTTGAAATATTCATTAGTGTGGATGTTTCCGCAACCTGTAGGTCGTTCAATGCTGGTTTAAGGCAACCCGAAATAGATAATGTAGGCATATTCTAATAATGGGCGGCATATCTCTCTGATCTATTTTCTCATTTTCTTCAGCAACTACCAGCACATTGACAAATTTACCGATCGCCTATGGTCATCCTTACCATTCTCTAACATCATTGAATATATATATCATTTGTGAATAGTGATATTTCAGTGTAAGCTTATACAATTTTCTCATTACAATAATTTTAGTTACCAACGAGATTTAGAGTTTTAATAAAATTTTTACTAGATCTGACAATGATCTTTTCTCAAAGAATTCATTGTCCCCATTCATTGTGACTGAATTTGTTGGTGTTGGTGATTTCATAATATGTTTGTTTCCAATGAAATTTATTGGGCATCTAGCAGGTTTTGACATGCTATATTCCATTCTTCAAATATTAATCTTCCATTGTATTATTGTTCAATTTCTCTTTTTCTCTTTGTTTCCTTTTTTTTTTTGCTTTTCTTGGTTTCATTTCTCCTTTTTTTATTTATCTTCATTTTTATAGCATTTCAGTTGACATTTTTTGTGTTGAACTGAACAGCTATTGACTTCTGTATACTTAAAGAAGTATTATTATTACTACACCATTGAGTTATTGGCTATATTGAACCAACATAATTTCAAAGTCATCAAAATTATACCTACTCGTTTCTCTTCTTCTTCGGCATCGGCAAACAACCTCCTGACATTTGCTTCTGATTCGCCAACATACTTATCCAATATCTGAGGACCATTCACGATTTTAGGTTCACGAGCATTCAACATATTACCGATCTGTCGTGCCATCAAAGTTTTACCTGTACCAGGTGGGCCATACAATAAAATACCTTTCACATGCTTGCATCCCAATTGTTCGACAATTTCTGGAGGGAACACTCTTGAAGCAAATGCTCGTCTGAATATTGCATTAAACTCATTGCTCAGTCCACCTATACCCATTTTTTGGAAATCCCAGTCTGGGTTAATTATAGATTGACGTATGATTTTTCTGAAATAAGATCGGGTTAATTAGTATACAATCTTCAACTTGAAAGTGACAGAAGTTTTGTTCTACGAATAGCAAAAGCACTTAAACTGCTGAATTTGATATTACTACCCTTTGGATTTTCCTGTTAGATTCAAGGAAGAGTTTTCAGCTTTTTCAAATTGTACTACAGTATCAGGTATCAACTGGCCAAGTTTTGCTTTTCTTGGTTTCATTTCTCCCCCTGCTTTCATAGAAGAAATATTCACCACTGAAACGAAAAATTTTCAATATCTCAGGATTGGGTTATATTCAACTAAAGTTCTTCACTCACCTTCAATATCCTTTATCAACAGGAGTAAAACCTTTTTATCTTTGAATGCAAATGCCAGCTGCTGACCAACTGTAAACATCTGATTGGGGAAACAATATAAGAATTCTTTTGCCATTTCATCAGAGTCATATGGTTCCTGTGACGTTCTGGAAAATATAAAGATTTGAAATCAACTAATTTTAGACATTTTTAATAATTATCATTAAAATCATAAATTACAGAATAATTGATATGGTAAAAAATAAATCAAAATCACTTAGGTTCAGTGTAGATGTGTAACATAATGGTAAAGTTGAAAAATTCTACAAGTAGTTGAAAATATAAAAGTAACAATATTGTTAGGTACAGCTTGTCAAAACTAGGAAGAGACTTGAGAATTCTATCTCTCTCACTCACACAGCCTCCTAATGAACGCGCATCTTAGGGGAGATCCTAAGCCGAGACTTTGAAATCGCTTCCTAGATTTGTCAAGCTGTATATACATATACAAACTCCGCTTTTTCATTGTATAACTTGAATGGCCAATGAAAACAGTATTATATATTATAAGTACTGATTAGAATGAGCTTCACTGTAGTATGAATTTTTCTTATAATCAATTAAACTAACATAATGGTGAAGTTGAAAAATTCTACAGGAAGTTGAAAATATAAAAATAACAATCCTGTTAGGTTTATATGAGAACCTATACAAACCCTGCTTTGTCATTGTATATCTTGAATGATCAATGAAAACATTATTATTATAAGCATTAATAAGAATGAACTTTACTGTCCTAAGAAATTTTCTTATAATCAATTAAACTGACATAATAGTGAAGTTGAAGCATTCTACAGGTAGTTGAAAATATAAAAATAACAATTTTGTTATATTTATATAAAATTGAGAAAGATTAATGCAGTTGAACTGCTGGAAAATAATTCCATGAAAATCAAAAGATAAATAAATGAGTACCATTCTGATCATTCCCATATTGGTTTCAATCTAAGAGCCACCGGTAGACAGCTGTTTCAGCCAATTGGGCATCGTCAAACTGTTTGAGTAGAGCCTAGATGATGACAGCACAACCAGCTTACATATTGATGCTTTTTAAATTTTTTAATAAGTTTTGAATAACTGGTTCTCAGTTCTTTGGCAATCTTTATAAAGGTGTAATATCTGGACCATATTGAGAGTATACTTTAAAATACATACTCATACAGAGTCTATAGTTACTTACGTTTTTTTTTGCATGTAATCAGCCTCGATAACAATGGAAGATATATATTCATCAGGTTGATATGGTTCAACATTGATTTCTTGATTGAGGGATAAGACAGCCCACTTTCTCTGGGGTAAACTAAACCCCACATGGTACCTTGAAACACCGGAATGGCTTTTGACAGAGAATACAAAATCTTGACCTCCACCTGTATGTATTCTTATATGCCTAAAAGTTGAGGATTATATATTGTCATATGACTAATGGAAGGATATCAACCAACTTTGCACTGGGAAAATCATTGTCATTGATAACAGCACAGTTCGTTAAAGACAGTTCATCTGTTGGACACTTTGCTACTTTGAAGACAGACTAAAAAATAAACAAGCTCAATCAATTGAATAGTCAGGGCACAGTATATAAATTGACCAAGTGAACACAATCATGCAAAAAATTAAACCTGTTTACCATAATGAAAAATGCAATATATCTTTGTACGTTTGTTACTGCAATGCAGATCAGAATTCTTATGGAAAATCAATATCACTGTGGTGTAGCCAAATCTGAGGGACTGTGAAACGTCATAAATTTTCATTAAAGTAAAATATCAAACGATATTTAGAGAAATGATTTTTTTCGTGTTGTGATGTTTAGCAACATTTTTTGAAAGAGTGCATCATAACATTTTCTACAATTTTTAGAAAATTCTGAAATTCAAAATACTGTTTTCATTTTAGTTCATATTTTTTCATCCTACACTTTCACTTCAAATTGGTAGCACTGCTAACGCTAGCTACTGGTTACAGTATATATGTATCTACTATTACGTTATTTTAGTATTATACTTGTGCTATTACTACGTTAGTTAGTGTACTCCATGCTACTACAGAATAATCATTCTGTGCACTATTTTTTCTATGGCATTGATACGGCGAGTTCTTAAATTGAACAGAACATTTTTGATAAATGTTGTGGATTGCTTAAACAAATAGAAACGTGATATCGTTTCGAATGGACTGATGAATCCATCAGATAAATTGGTTGACTGTGAATCAAGAACTCTATGGAACTTGCTTCCAATCTGACGAATTGTTGTTAATGATGAGGCTGAAATTGATAGTCTGTCATTACAGAACAATACCTCCCACAGTTAGACTGACTAATACCTATAACTCTAAGGTAGACATACTGAATTATTTTTTAGACTGGCCTACTATAATAATTCAACATGTTTTCGTAATCAAAATGCAACACAGATAATGACTGCCGACAATAATGCATAAAAATGTGCCGTGCAAATATGAACACTCAAGTCGACGGTAATTTCAAGATTTGCGCTTCGCTCATGGATATGAGCCAGGCGCAACGATTATGGACATATTGAGCCAGGCATAGGTTGATGTTGACGGTTGCTAGTATTGGTATTGTTGCCCCTATTGGCCCAAGTGTTAACTTTGGACGTGGCAGCATTGTCTTGGGAAAAACTGCTGCCCTCCGCCCCCTCACCGAAAACTCCTGTCAACTGTTGACAGGAGGAAATTGGCCAGATGCGCCCGAGAGGGAAGCAGCAGCCATACAAAGAGAGAGAAACGTAAACTAAAGTAAGATGTTTTCTATGTTTTTAGTGAGAAATAATTTCACGAAATTCTGTTCGGCCAGGCCGATGTTTACATCATTTTCTCTTACGAGCCATGTTGATGACCAACCAGTGCTTGAAACTAGGGAAATAACTAAAGATCGAACCGAACAAATTCCCGTGGAAACTAGCATCAGATACCTGAAAAGTGCTGCATTTCACCAAACCTATGAGGGACAGCCAGTGTGGGTACTTTATAGAAGAAATCACAAAGGATTATATCCACCCAATAAAACAAGAAAAACTTGCATAAGGGGTGGTCAGATATCGACAGGCAATCCTTGCCCTATTTGTAGAGATGAGTATTTAGTTTTGCATGAAGAGAATGTTAATTTGCTGAAGCAGTTCATCTGTCCATATACTGGAAATATTTTGAGTTATTCTAAAACAGGCTTGTGTCAGAAGAAGCACCAACAACTAGTCGTAAGCATAAAACGGGCTTACGACAAAGGTTTAATAACTTTTGATGTACCCATCAGGAAATATAACTATTCTGAATTTTACTCTGAAAAATAAATAATGGAGGCGTGTTTTGTTGTTATTGGAGGAGGTATAGCTGGCGTTACATGTGCTGAAAATTTATCATTGCTTGAACCGGAAAAAACTGTCATTTTATTAAGTGAATCATCATTAATCAAAAGTGTAACAAATCTTCATGCAATCACAAAAGTTCTTACAGAGTTTGATATAAAAGAAATTGAATGTAAGAAGTTCAGTTCTGAACATCCCAATGTTACTATTGTTCATAGTACTTTGACTGAAATAAATGATGAGGAACGATATATAGTAACACGTGATAATAAAGTTATCAAGTATCAATATTTATGTATCTGTACCGGAGCTGAGCCAAAACTCATTCCACAGTCAAGCACCTTTCCTCAAATTATAGGTATCAGAGACACCGATTCAGTAGATCAATTTTTGAACAAAATGCAAGATGCAAAAAAAGTTGTAATTGTTGGGAATGGTGGTATAGCCTCAGAGCTGGTATACAAAATGAGAAATGTTGAAATACATTGGGTTATTAAAGATAAATATATAACTGCAACATTCGTGGATCCTGGTGCTGCTGAATTTTTTCAATCTTCTCTAAACAAAAATGATGAATTTGAGGAACCTGTTAGCAAGAGGATGAGGTATGTGGAAGACAATTTCATAAAAACAGGTGCGGCTTTGGGACCTGACTGGTATAAAAATATTATTATCAGTGGAGCTGGAAATCAAAAAGTTTCAGTGGCAGCAGTAAACATACATTATGAGTCTGAAGTATTATCAATCAGAGAGTTAACAGATTGTCAATTCTCCCTGGAAGTTTTGTTGACAACAGAAGAAAAGATAGAATGTGACTTAGTAATTTCAGCCACAGGTGTTACTCCAAGAAAATGCTTCAAAATTAAAAATGAACTGGAAGTATCCGAGGATGGGGGTATTCAAGTAAATGAATTTATGAAAACTAATTTGCCGTTCATTTATGCCGCAGGCGATGTTTGTTCGGCTAATTGGCCCCTGGCCAAACACTGGTTTCAAATGAAATTGTGGACACAAGCACGGCAAATGGGGTGCTATGCTGCAAAATGCATGGTGGGACACTTGAATAACGAAGAGATCTTACAAGATTTTTGTTTTGAAATGTTTGCACATTCTACCAAACTTTTCGGTTATAAAGTTATACTATTAGGTTTATATAATGGACAAAAGTTGGGGAATGATTATGAAATATTGATCAGAATGACGAAGGGACACGAGTTCATCAAGTTTGTTTTGGAAAATAATAAGCTACAAGGAGCTGTATTGATTGGTGAAACAGATCTTGAAGAAATGGCAGAAAATCTAATTTTGAATCAGATTGATCTATCACCTTATGGTGATGACATTCTTAATCCTAAAGGAAATGATATTTAGAAACATTTTGCATGAAATTAAAAAAGTAAGAAGTCATTTGTTTAAAATCAAATTATTATGACTTAAAATGAAAATAAATCGATGAATGGAGTAAACAAGTGAAATGTCTCTAATATACACAAAATAAAGAGTAATGGTGAAAAAAACCTATTTCTGATACTTCAAGACTATCTGTAGGTCACGTTTTCATTTCCTGCTTTCAACTAACCTATCGAAATATTTTGGTCCTAGTATTTTCAATATTTCATTCTCACAAATTTCAAATCTGTTGACAGTTTTTGTTTGTAGACTTGTGATATTCTCGATTAAATTGATTTGATTATGCGCCGACTTTGACAAACAATACAATTTTTATAATCAAACTCATTATTCTAGGCAATTCAACAATAATTTTAGTTGAATAATTTTTCTTTATGAACAATTTGAATCATATAAAGGCTTTGATCTTACAGATGTCTTTTGCCTATGATATCAAGATATATTTCTCTATTGAAACTATTCAAGTGTGATTATTATACATAGAAGTAAACTAATGCATTGAAAAGAAGATATCCTTGATATGTATAATCAATCTTGTATGTTGTTATCCAAAGGATCATACAAAAATATTACCAGGATGTAGCTAAAGTGGTGACTTTAATTTTATTTTACAAAGAACATCTTAATCTAGGTTCATTTTTAGAAAAAGAAATTTCAATTAAAAAAAAATGTTTTTAATAACTCAAAAATCTTTTCAGAGTATGACGAAATTTTGTTCATCTGTTAATAAAACAATTTAATTTAAAATAGTAATTTTTAGTTTATATTTATGGTAAATATCAGTCTACACAACCATGTTTTGAGATTGATATTATCAGATTAAACAATAGGTAGTGTATCAATTGGAGCCTTCACTCTGAAGTGAAAGTGTGATATATGAATGCACCCATTAATTTATATTCTGACAACTTTCTTCAAAAAAAATGTAAAAGTTTTTGAAACAAAATAAAAAGTGATTGTACATCCATATTCCAGCCAATGAAAAGCCTATTTTCCATTCTCTTTACATAAGGGTTACAAACAACAACTCCCACTTCATATTAACATATGGTCGCGGAAAGAACGATCCAAGGAATTGCAATTTAAAAAATATGGAAAATTACAAATATGCTCAGTCGCAGTTATTTCAAAAATATCGTCTTGTTGCAGGGCAATTATTTTTGTATTCATTTTTAGTTTTGAACAGATTACAGGATATAGATTATCCAAAAAGGTAAGTCCACAACGGATAATTTGCAAATATAAAAAAGTTGGTGACAGAAATTCTCTTCTACAAACATATGAATTGAGGTATAACTATTTTGCAGGTCAACAAATTGGTGAAAATTATTACCACTATCCATGATAATAATTACACAATTTTCACAAATATTTTAATTTCTAAACCTGTTTCACTAACACAGTGGCTTCTCGGTAGAAATGAAGCTTGTTTGTTTGAAAGTGGTTGATAATGTTTCATGGTGATTTTCATTAGTTCGGACTAATATGATATAAATTGATTTGAAATCCCTGAATCTGTAAAAAATTAGAAAGATTAGCTGAAAAATAACAATTATATAAAGCAAAAAAACTGAAATTACAATGAAATAAAATACAATTAAGCAAAAACAAAAAAATTGAACTATTAACACTAGATGAAAATTAAAAATCATTAACAAGAAATGAAAATTAAAAGATTACAAATCAAGTTATACTTCACGACGTTTCGATTGTTATAGTATCTACAATCGTCTTCGGGTGATAACTGGACTTATTCCTTGAGTATATAGGTAGGTAGGTCTAAAGTGAGTGGGTCTATTCGACCCTCCACCGCAACCAATAAGGGTTTATTGTGGCTCACACCTATATTCACACTCGGCCAAATAAACCCAGCTTCTTAACGAAGCCGAATAGTTTGTATGGTGATGAGTGGTCTTTCAGGTCAGATGGTGAGAGTACGGATCTGCCAAACTCAAAAAACCTGATTCAGTCCCCAGCGGGGCAGGCACAAAGTATATGCTCTGCAGTTTCATCATTTTCCAGACAGAGGCGACACACACTGTCTTCCGACAGTCCAAGTCTCTGCATGTGATGATTCAAATGACAGTGACCTGTAAGAAGGCCTGTTAGACATCGTAGTTCATCCCTACTGTAGTCCAACAACTGTTTGGAATCAAGCTTCGAAGGGTGAATAAACGCCTTGTAAGGCGAATCCTGGAAGATTCTGCCCCAGAAGTCCATAACAAAGCGCAGCCAATGACAGGTTCTGGTCCAATGAAGCCACTTGCAGCACCCTCCTTTGCAAGAGAGTTAGCAGCTTCATTGGCTTCCTGGCCAGGAATCCAGACCAGATACACTCTGTTGAATCTTCTTATCGAAGAGAGTATTTTTTGGCAGTTTGCCACCAATTTAGACGTTGCTCGGTAGGAGCCAAGAGTTTCCAACGCCGCTTGACTGTCCGAGAATATTTTTATTGACTTGTGAGTGAGGTTGGATTTCTCCAATCTCTCTTCACACAATTCAATAGCGTAAATTTCCGCTTGAAATACAGTCGCATAAGTTCCTATAGGCAGGTAGATAACTCTGTCCTGAGTCTGCGACTGAAAACACTTGCACCAGAACCGGAAGGTGTTTTTGATCCATCTGTGAACCAACAACTATTTGCTCTTAATATTTCCTTCTTCCGCAGGATCCAGTCCTCTCTACTCGGGAATAGTACTTTATAAGGCAGTTCGTAGTTGACAGTTGGAGGCATAAAGCCAGAATGCTGTGACTTCTAATGTCAACCAACAGTCTGTTGCACTCTGCATTGAATTGATTTGGCAATTGGCAATGTGCACAAGTCTCTTTGCAGTCCATCTAGCCTCTCTTTCTAGAAAAATGAGGAGAGGAGATAGATCTAGAAGGATCTCCATGGCCGCTGACGGTGTGGTACTGATGGCACCATCACTGATATCCAGACAAGCGTGTCTCTGTGAGCCAGAGAGCTTCGCTTGGGCCGTTTTCTGTAAAGCCTTCGGCCACCAAGCAATTGCACCATAAGTGATCATTGGTCTGACAATCATCACATAAATCCAATGGATTTGTTTGGGACCTAAACTCCAAGTTTTACCACAAATTCTACGGCATGTCCATAAAGACAGTCTGGCTTTGTGTAGAACTTTTTCCAAGTGAGCGTTCCATGTGAGTCTTTTATCAAACACAATGCCAGGATATTTCACCTCCGTTCCAAATGGAATGACCACACCATTGAGGGAAAGTGGCGTTAGATCGTCCAATTTCCTTCTCTTGGTGAAGGGGATTAACACAGTTTTGCTGGGGTTGACAAACATCTGCTCCCTCAGGCACCAACTGAGAACAACGTCCAACACGCTTTGGAGGATATTACAAGCTACCCTTCCCGACGTGGACCTTACTAGGATGACAAAGGTCATCTGCATACGCTTGCAGATCAACTTTTCTTCTGTCGAGGGCATCAAGCAGACTATCCACCAGAAGCGACAACAAAAGGGGAGATAGTACCCCACCTTGAGGGCAGCCCCTGGTGACCCTGAACTTGAAGAGTCGTAGTTGCAGTTCTGTTTGCTAGCATGGCATAGATCCAGCCAGTTATGGTCGATTCTATACCCTTTCTAGCCAGAGACAATCCTATAGATTTAGGTAGTGCATTTGTCAAATGCTCCTTCAATATCGAGAAATACCGCAATCTCCTTGTTGTATTGGGAGATTTTCTCAACGAGGTTGTTTAATACTGAATCTGTCGATTTGCCGGTTTGATAAGCATACTGGTGGTTATTCAGGGGGGATGCATATAATGCTACCCTCCTGATATGTCCGTCCAGTATCCTCTCAAGTCCTTTCAGCAGGAATGATGTAATGCTGATTGGTCGTACCGATTTGGGGTGTGGGTCTCTCCGGCCCACTTTGATTTGAGTATTTATAGGTCATTCGAGTGCTTTCACCTGTCCCCTTTCCCCTTCATCGGTTTTGACGGAAACTGACCGTTTGGCGGGAGTTGGTCGTGTTCCCCTTGATTAAAGGTTTTCATATGTTGTGTATCTCTACGCTAGCTTGACTAAATGCGTTGTTGGACAACATGCATGCGGCTTCTTTGAATTTTCTTCTAAACCAGTGTTCCTTCTTGTGGATTTCAGCTTGAGACCACTTGATGTTATGTTGATGAGTCCAAACATGCTTTGCTATTCCTGATTTCTCCTTGCTATGTGTATTTCTTGTGCTCGGCAATGCGAACTTCGCATTGGCCTCCCAGTTTCACAGCTACGGTGTTATCTACAGTGCACTGAATGATATATTCAGGAGTCTCCTATGACTTCAGTTGTAAATAATGTGAAATCAGGTTAAAGAATAATATACAGGGGTTCCATAGGGTTCAGTTTTGAGATCAATATTGTTCTCGTTCGATTGATGACTTATTTATTTTGTAGAAATTCATGTTGAATATAAAATAAAGAAAATTCTTTTGCCTAGTTTTTACTGTGTTTATTTACTCGTTACGACCGGTTTCGGCTTATAAGGCCATTTTCAAGTACTTGTAGTAACTAATGTTACTACAGTTTCGTCATATACGGACGTTAGTTACAAATAAAAGTGGTAAAAAACATAGAAATTTTCATTTCTCTTTTCACACTAATATTCTGAAGTTACACAACATTGACCATTTAACAAAATTAAGCAACAAAGTTTCTAATGAAATATGATATAACCTTGAAAATGGCCTCATCCTGAATAGGAAAAAACAATAGTCCACTTTATTGCTAGAAACCAAATTCAAATTATGACCAATATTCAAACTTATCCGGTAAATCTATACAATCCACAGAAACCATCAAGTTCTTAGGTGTTACTTTGGATAGTAAGCTAACATGGGAACTGCGAGCACATTTTATATAATAAAAAATCTGCGAGATACTGTATTAGCAGACATTCTGTAATTATACTTTGGAATGGTTCAGTCTACTCTACAATATGGCGTGATCTTATGGGGGGTCCTCTTGTCACTTTGAAAGGGCATTTGTATTTCAAAAAAGGATAATAACAATGACATGCTCATCCAACTACAACATGTAAATACTAACCTTTCCATGTTTGTATATTTCTTGAGCTGATTATGTACAATAAAAAAAACAAATTGAACTAATGATGACACTCATGTATAATAGGAATAAAGACTTCGACAACCCTTTGAAAGGTTATCAGTCTCTGAAAATTCACCAACGCATATTGCTACCAAATACTTCAATGAAATTAGCAATATAATAGATGTGAATCTGAATGATATTGTAAAAAAAAATCCTGCCCTGAAAACATATTTTATTATGTTGAGGAACTTTATATTTCTTGATACGATACTATTGTGAAACTGACTTAATTTTTATTTTGTGACTATTACACCATCTAACATTACTTGTAGATTACCTTGAATTCAGATTCGTTCATGTTTATCAGAATATTTGTATTTTTTATTGCTCATCACAAAATTACCATCATATTGAGGTTTATACTTGTACAGCACATTTTCTTATGAATAGATGTCTGCTGTAGTTTCCTTTCAATTTCAAACACTTCAATTCTCAACACAAAAGCTGTTTTTATGATAAAAACAATAAATGGATATGGTTTGTTACAGCCAGTCTTTCTGTAGGAACATGCCTGATGATTACAGCAACAGTTGTATCGGACCTCGCACAAGGAGGACTACATGTTAATATAATAAATAATATGAAACGCAGTGTACACAGGGTCTACAGTTATTAGGATCACATATCCCTGATAAGGTTGTGGTAGCCTATCTGTACTTTCAAATTTCTGAAAAGTTTATAAACACTCGACATACTAACGTATTCAAAAAACATTGCGAGATTTTCACTAAATAATTTTTAAAAAATACAACACGTGTTTCGCCATACGTTGGCCTCTTCGGGCGAGTCTTTACTATAAAGAAGCCAATGTATGGAGAAACACGTGTTGCGTTTTTTTAAAATTGTTTAGTGAAAATCTCGCAATAATTAATTGAAAAAGTTGAAATGAATTATTTCAGGCATCCATATTTAACAATGCAAATAAAAAAAAATGACACTGCTTACGTATATTCATATTCAGTTTTCTTGGCTGCCAAGTTTTTGAATAAAACAGTAGTCAAAATCTTAATAGACAATGAATGATAACCTCAAAAACTTTTAGGTAGATTAGCTGAAAATTGACAGTGAAATTTAGTTTAAATTATTGTAGAATTGCCCAAAATTAGTAATATCATTGTTTACTGTGAAAAGATTTATACAAAACTAATTTTGAGTATGAAATTTGACAATTCTTCTTTTTGGTGGTCTAAATAGTCCACCGAATAAACAGAAGTTCATTATATTTGACTTGAAAAAGTTGAGATTGAATTTTGAAGGTCTAGATTTTCCATATTTTTCAACTCTCAATTGATTTATAGTTATATGCATCTTCATATCAAGCTTGAAATCCTAATAATTCCAATAAATCTTCCCAAAGATTCTGAAATATCAGATCGACATCATTCAAATAACAGAAAAACATTCACTTTTTACAAAACCTTTATTAAATCAACTAAGCTTTGAGTGCAAATTTCCTTGGAGGGAATGCAGAACGCTTGCGGATTTCCTTAGGAGTCTTGATGCGTTGCTCATGTTGAGATAGAGCACGACGAATAGCACGTGTCTTCTTAGGTCTCAAATCCAAAGGTATGTATTTCTTATTCTTGTACAACTTTCTTAAATTTTCTTTTTGCTTCTGGTGCATAACAATGTACACACGAGCAATTGCTTTGCGGACTACCCGGCTGAAAAGAAAAAGCAAATTTTATTTTTGGGTCATAATATTATGAATCTTTCCTGAAATATAAACAAAGTCCCTGTTCATTCATGATTATGTCTTCTTGATGTCGGCTGGATTGACAAATCAGTTTTATAGAAAATAGGAAAAAGTAATTTTTGTAAAATAAATATAAAGTTCCACTAATGTATTATTATAGACAAAAGTCAAAGAAATGTGAAAAATTCAAAAATTATAATGGAGAACTTTATACAAGTGTAGAAAGGTCAAACTTTTTAGTTTACCCCGATAAGTTACTGCGTAACGTAAAATCAAACTATTTTTCACAAAGAAAAATGTTCTATTTATCAGTAACAGTAACAATTTTGTCTATCAAAAAAATTGCTAAGAAATAATACAATACTATCTTTTACGTTTCGGAGGCCAAAATCTGCCTCCGTTTTCTGAAATGAACAAAAAAATTCCAAGATATTTGCAGTTATTCCTTTTATTTATTTCTAAACTTCTTCAACAGATGTCAAAGGAGTTTTGAAATATGACATCTGTCGAAGAAGTTAAGAAATGAATAATCAAAAGGAATAACTGCAAATATCTTAGATTTTTTTGTCCATAAGTATTGTATTATTTCTTAGAAATGTTTTTTGATGGGCAAATTGTTAAATACGACAAGTTACTGATAAATAGAACATTTTTCTTTGTGAAAAATACTTTGATTTTACGCAGTAACTTATCGGGTCATGAGACAAAGCTTCAGTTCCAATGTATAAGAGGAGCATTTTCATTAGATTCATTTTACGCTAGAGTATTCATTTCCATCCTACCATGTAATAGTATTGATGTTTGATTCCCTGTCTTTCGTAGTAAACTACGCACACAAGCTTTCATTAGTTCGACAACCAAATCTAGAAGTATATTTTGATATTTTACCTTGAAGTTCATTCATAATTTCAAATGTATACTATGTTCCTTAGATACTATTTATCCATCAACATAATTCATTCAATTGACATGCATCATCTATTTATGCATCAGTAAACGGAAAACAATATTTGGTGTTGATATCATCACTAATGGATTTCTCGCTGAATATCAAAACTTTACATCTTTTAGAGTTCAATTAATTGACATTACATACTTACCTTTTAAAAGTTTAATAAAAAAGAACAGAACTTAGCTGAAAATATTTTTTTTTACTAAATGAGACAACTCTGCTGATGATACTTCCACACTAATATCCGATAAAAAAAATTAAATAATTGTATATCTTTTGAATAGCAAATTCTTGTGGTACATTTACATTTTCCTATATTTCAACACAGGTAACATACATACGAGATTTCATAACAGACAAAAAAATTGTACAATTAATTGTTTACTCTTAACTATTATCTGAGCATTATAGGAAATGCTACTTCTTGAGATTTCATTTTGAAATATTTATTTACTTATACAAAAGTGATTGAGACCTCAGAGAGAACTCGTGAGGAGACCTGGCATCAAATCACGTCAATTTTTTTAAAGTGGCTCCAAGATCGAAGCCGAAACGTCGAAAACAAAACTCCAAATGCAGTACAACCCGAACTTAGTGACAACACTCACACACACATTCTTATGATTTTTCTAATATGAAAATATTGTGCAGTTTGAGCATTGAAGAACAGCTTGAGAAAACTCTAAACAATGACAGAAACACATACTTTCATCAATTATAACTTTACAGCAGTGAAAACATTTTTGAAATCTCAATTTGATAGAGGAACAATTTCAAAGTTATATTTTTACATTACTTGATGGAGATATCTAGTCCGGTTAAGTAAAAAATAATATTGCGAAAATGAGGATAATAGACAAATTGATAATTGATCACTCAACTTGGAAGTTTCTCATCTCAATCATTGAATACGATTATAAAGATACATGTTTTGTTTTAATAACAGCATTCAATTCCATAAAAATAATATCCAGAGAAAACAAAGAATATATGTATAGTTTGAATTCTTACATTTTTGAAAGTTTTGAAGGGGCTCCTCCAGTGACTTTAGCCACCCTCAAACTGGTAAGTTCCGTTTTGAGCTCATCGAGCTGCTTAGTCAGCTCCTTCTTGTCTTTGGTTCGCAAGTCTGAACACTTAACCTTTCCCTAAAATGAAACAATAGGAGGCCATTAATCTTGCTTTTTCTTCAAGGATATAAAATTGGTATATTCACAATGAAAAAAAAGTGTCCAAATTTTTCTGATTATAACAAATATTGAGTCGATGACCGATTTTGTATAAAATATATGAGAAGTTATACTCACCATGTTTCCTCTTGTGAAACGAGTCGATGAAAAGAATTATAGGTTGAGTAGATTTGTTCAGGTTCAGCCACGTGCCGCTTGTTTCAGAATAACGCACTACTACTGATAGAGTTCTGTGATCTGTGATAACAACAAAGGATAGAAATAGACTGAATTTGCACTGATTTTACCAATGAAACGTGAGAACGAAAATTCAGTTACCGACGTAAGATAAAGTAATTTGATGATATTTTATTAAAAAATGTATCTTCAATTGAAGGTTCAAGAACCTTTCGAGGAAGTGCTTGTATTTTTTATGTGTGTTATCAATGTATCTATACAATCTATGAACAATTGAACTTATGAATGTCAAGTTGAATACATACACATATGTCAACACTTCGACACGTGTTTCGATCACCAAGTGATCATCTTCCTCTTGAAAATGATCTATCTTACGATATTGAAAACGGATGATATTACGTAAATTTTGATTCTTGATGTTTTCCTAGGTTTTTTGAAATTCCAACAATATGAAAAATAAGTGAAGCTGAATCGATAGAGAACCTGTCAAAGTATAATGAGGGTAAACTGGAAATTCCACATAATATATAATCACTGAGGTGAAATTTATGTACTCACTCCGAATTCTTCGGAAAATAATCATTTTCCGTTCTCAGAACTATAAAAAAAACGTTGAAAAACTTTTCGTTTAAAAATATATCAATTTTCGTGGTTTATATTACACAATGTGAAAACTTTTCTGTTTGTTATTTATTCCACTTCAGCAGATTTTCTGTTGATTTGACTACACATTTTTCAGATTGTGTGAAAATAGAAACCCCCAAACAGTACGAAACATTGACACTCACCAACAAAAAATGTTTTTCAAAGGCTACACACTTGTCATTACCTATTGAATTTTTGGACTTGCAAAACTATATATCTGTAAAGAATGTTAAATGCCTGCAGCACGTGTACTACCTACTCACCTTTATAAATAATGTAGTCCTTTCGATTTTTCAAAAGCAGTAGTAAAATGCATTTCAAAATACGATTCGAAAATGATAGTATATTGTGTGTTTCCTATATTTTAACTCTTAAACGATGATACTTTAGCAGACCATATCTTTCTTAAATATTTCTTTTCGCGAAAAAATGTTGAGTATCTGAAGTAAGTGGGTGCCTAAATACTTTCTTCATTCAAATTTCGTTGTCTCTAATATTATTACTTGTAACTTGTCATGTCTTCATGTTTATTACGATTTCAGTGTTGTTTCTGAGGCACAATGGGGAATGTTCCTTCTGACGAAAATCAAGTAGTTTTCATAAAAGAGCTCTAAAGCAACGCATTTTAAACTTATCATTTCAACCTTTTTCTTTAAAAAATTATTTAGATACCCAAAAAAGAGGAATGAAATAATACATCAACATTTAAAGGGATTCGTTTCTATTTCACCATTTGGCAACATCGGTTATAGCTAAAGGACAATGAATCTGTTACCTGTATGAGATAAACATAGGTGACATATTTCAGAGGCGTGCTGTTCTGTTTACTTATGTTCCGAGTTCCGAGACATTCTGTGACATATGACATTTTGTGCACCTAACCTATCTTCCTCTATATAAATAAATAACAAAACAACTGTTGTTTATGTGGCTTGTGGAGGTGGTATTGAACTATAATTTATATTTTGCCTTAATTGTTGATTTATAAAGATAATTTTCCTTTTTTAAAGTAGAATATCTAGGTATGTATAAATTATTTCAACTTGATATAGGCGCTGTTGCCAATATGTGAATTAGAAACAAATCCCTTTAAAAATTAAAACCCAACATTTGAAACATCAATTTGAATACTTTTTGAAGTGAATTTGAAAAACTCATGAATTAAACTCAACTTTATTTTGTTCAAACTTGCATTTGCTGTAATAACCCAAATTGATGAACATTCTTCATTGTGCCAAAATGGACACAATTTGAAAATGTGAGCACCTGGGAACGCACTTTTGAAAAATATGTTCAAAAGGGGTACTAATTTGTTTTTACTTTCGATATATAACCCAAAGGTTATTGCATTTTTCAGATGGAAGAATGTTTGTAATAGAGTGAAGAATTCAGAAGTCTTCAAAAGCAAGCAGATCAACGAATTTATCAGAGAAGCAAGTAATGAAATATATCTTATGATGACAAGTATCAACTCAATTTGCTTTAATTATGGTGTAATAATGAATATTACTGAAGTTCTATCCCAACACCAAACCGTTATTTTTAACACCTTGACACGTGTTTCAATCACCAAGTGATCATCTTCAAGAGGAAGATTGAACAAGTGATCACTTGGTGATTGAAACACGTGGAATAGAACTCCAGTAATATTAATTTGTTTCTCGCCACTTCTGAGCTTCTATGGGAAATGTATTTCATGGTGTTATGAAAGTAGTGAAAGTGTTCATTGTTACGATCTTCATTTGGATTCGAAGGCTGTCGTGGTTTGGAACTGTATCCTAACATTTCGACAGCACGAGTGGCTGGCTTCTTCAGAGGTTTATTTATCTCGATGGTTCGCCGATGGTCTGATAGGCCAAAAGCGGTAAATACATGAAAAATTTGAGACACGAAAACATTGCCGATTATCGAAGCAATTCACGGCGCATCCAAAAACTACCTGCTACGATTCGATTATGCACGCTGTGATTTAATACCAAAAGTAGGGATACTCGGACTATACTATGCTTTCGTTCACTTTTGACAGACTTTTGGTCACTATCACAGGCACTATATTCCCTCTAGTTTGGGCACAGTGTAACATTCCCAAATAACAGAATTAGATATGTCTATGCTTACTTCTTCTTTTCGATTCAATGGCCTCAGCGTCTATGCTAAGATGTCTAAAAACCCTGGTGCATCTACTCATACCTGCAAAAGTTTGGGGTAAAATGAGGGATTTATGGCTAACTTGATTAGCAGAGATCAATTACTATGCTTTCGTTCACTTTTGACAGACTTTTGGTCACTATCACAGGCACTATATTCCCTCTAGTTTGGGCACAGTTGAACATTCCCAAATAACAGAATTAGATATGTCTATGCTTACTTCTTCTTTTCGATTTAATGGCCTCAGCGTCTATGCTTACAATAAGTGACATTTGAGTTGAGGCCGTTCAGGGGTTATGTTATTGTGGAATGGAACAAAATATGTAAAATATTCAATATCATTATGTGAAATAAGAAAAGTTTTTCATAACTAAATAAGTTGATGGAAAATGTGATGATCTAAATGAATCATTCCGAAACATTAACAGGCTATTCCAAGAGCCGTTTGCACCTCTTGAAAGTATATAAAGAAATCTCATGTAATTCTCATCAATTTTATTTAACTTGTACTTTTCAGGAACCTCCTTTATTTTTTGTAATGATGAGACTCAATGTCAAAGTAGCACTAATATTTTTACTATCTGTTGGTATACTTAGTATATTAGTGCTGTACTCTGTTTGTGGAAATACAGAACAAGAATGGCAAAAATTCAACAAAGCCAGCACCAAAACTTTCGACCTACAAGTTACCGAAGAAATAGATTGTGATATTAATGGAGAATACATAATAACATGCAGGAAGGAAGGAGACGAAGTTTACATTCCATTTTCATTTCTTCATAGATATTTTGAAGTCTATGGAAAATTGGCTACATATGATGGCTTAGAGAGATTTGAATGGTCACATAGTTACAGCAAAGTATATCATCCCAAAGCTAAATATGACCCTCGTGGGGTGTTTATGTATTTTGAGAACTACAATGTTGAAGTGAGAGATAGAGTTAGGTGTGTCAGTGCCATTGAAGGAGTTCCAGTCTCAACTCAGTGGGATAGCCAGGGGTACTACTACCCCACCCAAATCGCCCAGTTTGGTCTGTCTCACTATAGTAAAAACTTGACGGAGCCAGAACCTCGAAGAAAAATTATTGAAGACTGTGAAAATGATATCAAATGGATTGTGCCAGCAACTGCAAAACTAGAGAAAGTATTCGACAATGCATTGGGAAGTAATATTTTAAAATTCACAACTACTGAAGAGTATACTGATGGAATTGGACTTTCAATGGATCATGTTTTGTATTTTGTTATTAGTCTTGACATCATCTTGACTGGTAATAGTAGTCTATGTGTTATCTTGCAGAATAGAGAAACAAAGGAAATATATAATCTACATTATATAACATCTGATATTTGGATTACAGTACAGGTAAGATGTATACTGTTACAAAGTAAAGTTTTTTGGTGAATATTAGTTTAAATGGTTTTCAGGAAAATGATTGTCATAATTGTTTAAACTTGATAATATTTTTACAAGCTACTTACTTATTGGTTGGATCTGTTAATAATGTTCTATAATATAACTAGAATTGAAGGTAATATTAAATTTATATGACTATAGAAAAATGAAACGTTCTTTTCTGTCAATTAGAATGTGCATTATATGATTAATTTTATGCTTGAGTACTGTTCCATTCAAAACAAGGCTGATTCGATAAGAAAGTACCATTTACTTATAAGTTAATGAATGAGAAAATAGCTTGAAAAAGTGATGATCTTCTAGAGCACAGCTAAGTGAATTTTTGAATATTTGCAACGTAATTTTCATCATATTGCCAATAAATAATAAAAACTCCATTGAAATACATGATCCCAAAAATAGACATTTTGGTGAAATAGAAATTTTTTATTCTATGGAAACAATTGAAATGGAAGTTTTATTACTGAAAGTGAATTTCTCAATGAGTAGAGTTTTTGATAGTTTCGACTTTTGAATGGCCGTATTTATAAAAGCCAACTGGAGAATCAAGTTTTGGCTTCAGTCTCGTAATTAGATGAAAATATATTTGAAGGAAACATTTTTCCAATATCAAAACAAAAATATCCACTCAAGGCACATTTCACTAACCCAGTTGGCTAGGAAAAAGTGTTTTCTTAAGATGTAAGAGGTTTTTATTCTACTTATCAAAAACAGACAAAAATATGTAACTCAGGAAAAGGTTGAATAATAATAGATTTATTAGAAATAGATGTCCTAATGTACATAAATATTATACAAATATATCAGTTATTAAATAAAATACAAAAAAACTAAAATATATAAGACCTATATAGTTGAATATAGTGTGTAAAACAGCAGTACTAAATGATGAAGTGATTAATATTAATAGAGAAAAGAATGATGAACAATTCAATTGGAATAATATTGTGCCTGGAGATATTGAGATGAGGAGCGATTGAAGAGTTGGAGGGTGTTACTTTGTTTAATGTCATTAGGAAGCTTGTTATAGTCCAAGAGTCCTCTGTGAAATTCATTGTTCTTGCAAGGGTAGTTCGTGGGACAATGAAGTCATCTCTTCTTCTTGTATCTTATTTGTGAATCTGATGGTTATATGTAATTGATTCGTTGAAGTAATATGGTGCTTTTCTAGCAAGTATTTTAAATATAAATATCATATAAAAATATTGTAATCTATCTACTGTCATCCAATTCAGAATATTAATCATTGATAATATAGGAGTATATTTACCGTCTAGTAAAGTATCAGTATCAAAGTATCAGAGTAGCACAGTAATCAAAGTGTGTTAGGATTGTTGTTTTATAAACAGGCAAATCAGATTGGAATGTTAGTTGTCTACTAATTGTAGTGAAGAAAAACATTTTTTTAAAAATTTTATCACACATTAACTGGAAGTGTTTTTTCAAGTTCAAAGTGTTATCAACGATGAAGCCCAGGTATTTGAATTCTTCCACTATTTCAATAGTTTCGCTGTAGATTTCAGTATTAATGGAGTTATCAATTGAGTTATATTTATATTGTGTTGTCAATATCATAGCTTTTGTTTTAGTGGTATTCAGTTTGAGTTTGTTTATGTTCAAAAACTAATTTTGCGTACAGCATTATGAATATCAGAGTCGCTTGCTGCTGTGAGAGTATCATCTGCAAAGAGGTTGAATTCACAATCACTAATAAAATTTATGTCATTCAAATAAAGTATGATTAAAACTCCCTTGGGGGACCCCAGTATCAATTGCTTTTTGGCTTGATATGACGTTGTTTATTTTAGTACATTGAGATCTGTTGAGTAAATAACTTCTGAACCATAGCCACACCCTACCAGTTATTCCATAATACTCTAATTTTGATAGCAAAATAGATAGATCTATAGTTTTGAACGCTCTTTTGAACTCTAAAAATACTGCTACTACATATTTATTGTCATCAATTGACAGTTTCCATTTAGACAAGGTGAGTTCAAGAGCAGTTCCACATGAGTGTTGCAATCTAAAACCTGATTGATACTTCATCAAAAGGTTGTTGTCTTCAATATATGTGCATATTTGGTTATAAGCAGCTAACTCTAACACTTTTTCTAAAGGAGGCAGAGTGTTTAAGGGACGAAAGTTGAAGGCTTCATTTGCGTTGTTAACTTTAGGCACAGGAACAACTGTACTAATTTTGAGTTGATCTGGAAAGTGCCCATTTATCAAAGAAGTATTGACAAAATCAAGAAGTACATGACCTAGTACCGAGAAGATACTCTTGAGAACCTTGTTATTCATTATATTAGTGTTACACTTGTTATCCAAACAGGAAATAATTGACTTCAATTCCTTCAGTGAAAAACGTTTGAAGTCGGACAAATTGCATCCAATCACTTCAAGATTTTCACATGACCATTGTACAGAAGCCGGAATTGTTGCTTTAATATCAAGAATACTTTCAATAAAAAAATTATTACAGCTTTCAGCTTTGTCTTGGTGTAACATCATTCTCTGTGTCAAATACAATTACATCAGGAAGGGGACTATTACTGGGTTTGATAAGTGTTTTCAAAGATTTCCACATTTTCTTTGGGTCACGCAAACAATCATCAATCTTCCGTTTGTAGTAGTCAGCTTTTTTCATTTTCGACAAATTAACCACTTCGTTTCTATAACTTTTATAAATAGCCCAATTGAGCTGTTCTCACTAAAATCCCTATATAATTTCAAAGTACTAGATTTCTGCAGCTGACAGGATTTGATTGTAACAGTGTTGATATTATGATCTGTAATCTTAGGAACATTGATTTAAGGTCAAGGAGTTTAAGACATAATCAATCAATGTACTACTATTATTAGTAACTCTTGTTGGTTCATGGATCAGTTGTTTGACCCCAATATTTGCAATGAAATTCTTGAATTTTTTTACCAAAGAATCATTCTCAAATGAATATTTACTGATATTTAGTTTCATTCATAATGTAGGGTAGTTTCATCTAGAGTTGGGAGAATGATTATAATTTCTTGTTTTCTTATTTATTTTGAACAAGACTGGTATATTTCAGGATAATAATATCTACCATGGTATTGGAACATCTCAAGAATGGAAAAAACTTACTAGAGATCTTATTGTAGATCTTCAAAAAGGTATGACTTACCTTGATAAAGATAAATCAAAACACAAGGTTTTACGCTCAAAAATTAAAGTTGTGAATATTACTTTGAGAGGTTCTGGGTCCATAGATAACTTAACTCTTTCATCTTCTGAACATATTCAACAATTTTATGATGCTGCTAACTGGTTCTTGAAATACCAGGATACAGGAACGGGAGGCTGGCCAATACCGGTAAGGAGGAAGTTGGCAAATAGTTTTCATGATTTGCAGCCAGGTTAGTAACAAAGATTATATTAGTGCTATGAAAGCTATACATTTGTATGATTTACATTTACATATCCATAATTTGTTCAAATTCTCATATTTGACTTGGTCAAAAAATCATCTGTTTCTGTTTTAAATCTAATCTAACATTAATCTGATAGAAGTAGACTAGACACATGAAAACCGCAGAGATCACTTCACTCTTGCGGCATCACATACATACATGGGTCTTCTTCAACAACATTCAAGACCTCGGCTTATCAAAGCACCTGACCACTGCTTTCCTCAGTTCGAGTGGGCTGAAGTCGAAAACTTCATCGAAGACTTCATCATGGCCTGTCAGGCCATGTGATGTTACGTGATGGGTATAGAAGTTCTTGACACTAGGTGCGAGACTTGCCGTGACCATCAAGTACTTGGGAGTATGGCTGGATATAAAACTGACTTTCGCCGAACATATTAAAAGAGTCATAATCAAAATGGAGATAAAGCTTTGTCTAGAATAATTCCAAATATCAGAGAACCAAGGCCATCCAGAAGAAGATTACTATTGAGTGTGGCTCAGTACCAAATTCTGTATGTAGTTCCTTCCTGGTAAACAGTAACAATAAACAAAAACTGATATCCGAGGTGGAAAGCTTACAAAGGAAAATGTTGATAAGGGTATGTAGCGCATATCGGACAATTTCTACGGAAATAATACGAAAGCGGTCCTGGTGAGAGATATGTGTTATGGGGGGAGAGGTTTGAGTCAGTAAGAATTCGGCACGAAGTCTAATGCAAGATTTCCTCTCCCCCTCCTTCAAAAAAAAGGACATACCGCCTGAGACCCCAATGCACTTGCTGTCAGCATGCCCAGCATATGCAGTCTCAGCCTATATCCATTGACCTATATTCATGGCCTATATCCATGGCCCTAAAAACTCCACAGTATTGACTAGACACCGCTGTTGCTCTACGTTCCTCGATGATTTTGATTTCGTTGTGGGGAATGAGAAGTACCGAATTTGTTGGAACTATTCATTCCCCACCCTCAGCTCATACAAGCTAATAAGCCAGTTATCGAGATTTTCTCTTTGAACTCTGCAGACTTCCACCAGGCCACTGTTTAGATCAGTGGTTTTTAACCTTATAGTCATGCGGGACCATTTGACAAAATTTCTGTCAGGCCATGGACCACCAAGTTGGTTAATTAGTTTGTAGTTAATATAAAGTACCTTACGATAACTACAAATAAATACAGTACAGTAAATAAATGGAATGGTTGTTCTAATTCATCTATAAATAAAATACGCACAAAATTATTTAATGTACTTTAATCATTAGGTAAAATCTGTAACTGTAACATACTGTGGTTGCATACTCTTTACTAAAATTCTGAATCCTTGGTTAAGTGTTACTTATCATATCAGCAGTGGCATCCAACCGATTTCGGTGCTTGTTTTTAATAATCAGAAGCGCCGAAAACATAGATATGTTGAAGAAAATAAAGTTAGGTAACGAATAGCAATGTCTAGAAGTTTTAGTTAAGTTGCTGTCGTATAGCATATCAATTACTTCTTCTTGAACTCCATCAGGCACCTCAGGAACGTTTACAATAAATGAATTGCGGATCAGTTTTTGAATACTTTTATATTCAATTTTTAAGAATTCACTTTTTAAGTTTTTTAAATGTAATATGTTCTTTTTAATTTCTCCTTTAATTTCAGCACTCTGTCCATCAATAACTTGATTAAGCTTATCAAACACAGAAAAGTTATTACTTTCGACCTTGTTGATCCATAGCTTGATTTTAGCGATAAACGCAATGATTTTATCTTCATAAGCAGAAATATTGCTCATGCCTTGCAACTTCAAATTTCCCGACCTTTGCAATAGAATGTTTAATTCATTCAGTTGCGCAAAAAAAAAACCGACCAAATAAGTAATATGTATTTGAAATTTAGACTCGCAAAACTGATCAAACAACTTTTTGTTTTCCTTCTTAGTTAAAATAATTTTACTACCTCTCTTAGTTCGTACAACCTCAACAACATGTTTCCTTTGGAAAGTCAACGCACTTTCGTGTGGAAAAGCAAAGTTTCATGTTCAGAGTTCATCAGAACACAATTATTTGAAGAGACGAGTATTGAGTGCATTCTTTTTAATGGAATTTACTAATTTTATAGCTGTTTTCGTCGTCAAAGCAAATCATTCTGGAAGCGTCTTGGCAGCTAGTGCTTGACGATGAATTACGCAGTGCGTCGTAGTTGCAAACGGATTTTTGGTTTTTATCAATACTGCAAGACCAGAGCGAGAAACAAGCATAGCAGGAGCACCGTCCGTACAAAACCCCGCACGCCGTTCCCACATAAGATCATGTTTCTCCATATATTGACTTATTGCATCCATAACATCTGCACCTTGCGTTTCAAGTTCTTGAGAAAATAGTAACTCTTCTTCAAACATTTTAGCGACGGGTCGCATTGTATCGTGTCGAATCATCTAACACATTTATCAGGAAGGGTCCGCGGACCGCTTGGGTGGTCCAGGGACCACCAGTGGTCCGTGGACCACCGGTTAAGAACCACTGGTTTAGATGGTTGTTCTGATTATTGGAGTCCTTGGTGGAATGATGCCACCTCTTTTCCCAAATCCTAAGATCATGACGGCTTGTCGTATGAAAGCAGATGAATTGTCCGGACAAATGCCCAATGCTATCATTTTTGGATCATTGCGTTTGCTTAGGGCACATGATTGTCAGATTCAATGATCACTCATCCCACAGTGTGGGAAGTGGTCATTTGTTAATAATGCTGAAGCGCCTTCCCGAATGTGTCGGAGCTTCGGGGACAGGGCCTGACGAGCTTACCCTTCGGTGAAAATAATAATAATAACCTTTATATTCCCAAGGATAGTTCAATTTTCAATGTTTTTTTATTATTTATTCTGATTTAATGTTGAAGTTATAAGGATTTTATTAGTATTATGTTTTCCAGTAGCCATTAGATTAGATTTTGATATGTTCTGTTATAGTTATAGTAGTATTGTTGTTGAGTGGCATGTGATGAAGTTTGTTTTCAATTGGGACTTCACACCAATATTGAAATTTGACGAGGGACCACTAGTTTTACCAATGAAATAGCTATGAATCATTTTTCAGGTTGGTATTCTTCGATGGGTCAAGGCCATGCAATTTCCGTCCTCTCTCGGGCATACTATCATTCTGGAGGTGACATCCGCTACCTCAATGCAGCTTTGAAAGGCCTGAAACCTTTTCGAGTTCCCAGCTCCAAAGGAGGTGTTAGAGCTACTTTTGTTAATAAATACCACTGGTATGTAAAATCATTTGAAGTTAGTCATTATATGCTCGTTCCGGATATCTTAAAGTGAGATATTACTTCAATTACTACATACAATTATTGTTATGATCCATTGCTAGGTATGAAGAGTATCCTACAAAGCCAGCGTCATTCGTTCTAAATGGATTCATTTATTCCTTGCTGGGTCTTTACGATCTGATAGCTATAGCCCCTCCAGGACAGGCCCAGGAAGCAGAGTTTTTGTACAATGAGGGGATGGCATCATTACGGAATATGCTGATGTTGTTCGATATGGGAAGTGTTACATCTTATGATCTGAGACACTTCACTATTGGTATGTGGAATTTTTATAACTTTGGATTTTTTCGAAATATCTACTATGATTATCATTAAATACCTAATGAGATACACAGTATGACACCAGCAAGTAACTATCGTGCATCTATGTTGTTGAGAGTTTGTCTTGTTTCTTGAGAAAACAAATATATTGTTTCCACTTTCGCTCAGCCACTAAACAAATGAGCAATCAATCAATCATATTTCCATGCACAAATTTAAATGATAGAATGTTAGTTTTGCTGAAGTTAAAACATAGTGAGTTTGAGTCACACCAATACTTGTCAATTTACGAAATTTACCTGCAGCTTTCACAAATAATTTATGAATGCGTTTCATTTCCTTATTTCTCAAATTATTTGAATTGAAATGTTGAAGATTCTTGTTGTTGTTTATTTACATGCTACTCTTGATGAGATATATTATTATTATTATCAGTCAATAAATATTTTTCAGGCATATTACATGCAGTTCTACAAATGAACAAGTTACTGGACTAGTCAAAAGTTCTACCTCAATTTGGTGCAATTTTGAAAATGTTTAGTTTCCATATATTTTGGAGACTTTTTAGCAATACTTGGACTAGAAAATAGATAATAATCAACATAGAGTAGAGTAAAGAACTTTATATGATCACAATATATTGAATGAACATTTATGGCAATCATGAAAATAATATACAAATACATTCAACTGGAGTTGACATATAATTATAAAAAAAAAACAAAATTATGAAGGTAAAGTTATAAAATACATACAAAAATTATAAGTAATTATCAACAACTGTAAAAATTGTTCTGAATCAAAGCTTCAAAGTATTGACATATCCTAGAACTCGTATCTAGTAGCTATGAATTATTAACTAGTGAGTTTCACCCATGCAGTGAATAACTTTTCCTGGAAGCTTGAATTCTCAGAATATCAGAATTTGATACTTTTTTTGAAAGACAGTCCTAAAAATTTAGGATAACACTACCAAATGGTGCTACCAAGTTTTTCATCAACAAAAATCCCAAAAATCTCATTGTCAGATGTATTCTAGGGTTTCACAGCATGTAACAAAATTTTAGGTTAAATTTGGATTTGTGATGCCATTTTTGGACTAAAATTGGTATATGTAGCTTTCTTTATCTTACACGACGAGTATTGAGTGCATTCTTNATTCTAATCAACCCATGAAGGCATTAACCAATTATACATTACATAGGATCTTTCAAATACTCATCAACAGAGTAATAGGCTTTGTCAATTAAAAGTTGTTTCACATACTGTTTGAATTCTCTCAGCGACATTTCTCTAACATGAGTTGACAATTTATTAAATAATTTGATACCCATATAAAAAGGACTTGATTCGGTCCTGGCCAGTCTGTGAATTGGTATTTCCAATAAAGTTGAATTTCTTGTACTGTATTTGTTTCTATTCAATGGAGCAAACAATTGTCTGTCTGATTTTACAAACATCAGTATCTGGTAAATATAAATGCAAGGTAAGGTTAAAATTTTTAGGATTTTGAATAGTTCTTTACAGCTCGTGCGTCTACTTACTCTTTGAATATTTCTGACAGCTCTCTTTTGTAAAATAAACACCCTTTGCGCTTCACTAGATAAACCCCAAGCTGATATGCTATATGAGATTAAAGAGTGAACATGTGCATGATAAAACATAAGTAATACAGATTTGTCCACAATTTTATTAAGTTGATACAGGCAATAGCACATTGGTGATATTTTTTTGCACATTTCATGAATGTGATGATTCCACTTACAATCTTCTGAGAGGTTAAGTCCCAAGAATTTAACTGATGTTACTTGTTTTAACGAACCATTTGATGCTTTTAAAAGTAAGCTGTGATCATACCCTTTTGGTGCATAACTAAATCTTACAAAAGAGGATTTTTTATCATTGCAAACTAATTTATTTTTGGAGAACCAATCCTGTGCTTTCAATATTTCTATATGAGCAGAGTCAACTGTAGCGGAGATGTATGTATATAAGTCATATTGTACCTCACTAACTCATTTAGTTTATTTAAAAGAAATCATGGCCCACCATATAGAAGACCCATGTCAGGACATCAAATACTTCTATTGAAAAGACTTACTGTCTCTTGACACATGTCTTTCTCATCTCCTGATGATGCTAACTTGGTTAGCGAAACATGCATCGAGAGACAGCATTTTTGGTGAAGGAAAAGTGTTTTCAGTAGATTCATTCCATGTTAGAGGTTCCTAATTCTACTTATTAAAATAAAAAAATTCAATTAGAAAGAATAAAACAATAAAATTTACTCATTGAGATCTTTTTCAGTTTCATTAGAATTTTGATAAGTATAAATTTATTTTAGGCACATCTCCCAATCTTGCTAGGTGGGACTATCATGCTACTCACATTAATCAGCTGTTACTTCTTGGTACTATTACCAATGAACAATTATTCAAAGTAACAGCAGAACGGTGGATTGGATATATGAATGGAAAAAGAGCAGATCATAATTGAGATAATGACTCCTACTCCTTACGAAGGAAAACAAGCCTAAACTTGACAAGGAAATAAATATGTTTACTAATTTTTTTTTCTTTGCACATAATCAACTCTAGCTATGTCTGTGAGTCAGCAATGAATAAGGCAACAATGATTTTTCAAAAATCAATGCCAGCAACGAATCTATAGGGCAAATTTTATGCAATAAGAAAAACTGCACATTTCAATATCATCGCAATTCTGTCACATTAAAATGAAATAGGTGTTTCCCAACACACTCAAAAATTCGGTGTGAAAATTAAGTGTGTGTGTGGTTTAAATTTTTTGGCTTTGGGAGAACCAATTAGCCAGACTGTTTTAATAAAAAACTATTTGAAAGTAACATTGAATAGTAGCTCAAACATAGATTTTTTCCCCTCGTTTTTTGCTTTTGAATTTTCATTTCTGTTTGTTTTTGTATTTATTTTT